GCATGCACGTCTCCTCCATACAGGATGGTAGGTACCATGTTAGTGATCGCCAGCCTCGTCTTGTGTCCCTTGTTTAGCTTCATGGTGGCCAACTTCTTCTTCTTCAATGCGAACTTTCTCAATATTTGTGCACGTGTGGCATGAGCTTTGTGGTGGGCCCGATGCTTCCCACCAGCGACATCAATCCCAAGATTTCTGATCCCATATGCGCCTGGCCCCCCCCGTCCACTGAGCATGCCCCTCGCCAACTCCGCCATCTTCCCCGCGGAGGTGACCATGTTGAGCTTGTGTGATGCCAGGGGTACGCCAAGCTCTTTCTGCAGTCTGTGTCCGACACGGTGTGCGTGATCTCTCATTTCTCTAAGAACATTGACCATCGACTCCCCCCAGTGATGTTGCGAGAGGTCGTCAATATGTAGTGACAACATATTCGAGGCATTGTCGCGGGCTTCGTATTCTTCGTCCATTAGCGGGATCAGAGCCGTTTTAGCTTCAAATGTTGCACTTGCTCATCCAGCCACTATTCCTCTGTGTGGGTCCAGTGGGCCCATCAGCATGCCATCGTATTGTAGGTATCGTGGCCATGTGTAGCTATGCATGGACATCCTCAATGCGACCACAGGGGAATTTGTGATGGTGCAGTTTGACGATAGTAGGTCCCAATGTACATCTCGTAGAACTGCAATAGATCCCATAATACTGCAATCTAGTACATGTCCATGTTGTTTGCACCCTCAGATACCGCTGCCTGCTTCCATACTGTATCATTTGGGCCTCTGCCTTGTGACATGGAGTACTGGCCTCCAAGTCCCTGGTATTCTTCCCATCTGCGTGGCCTATCTCGCCAAAGTCGTCCTGCAATCCTCGTAGATGCATTGTAAATTCCAAGCGGTCGACGTCCTCCTGCTGGCTTGTGATTTAACTGCACGATGAATCTCTGCACCGAGGAAGGAATTTGGCCACGCATTTCCATAAGTAGTAGTAACTTCCCAAATGCAGCCCTCGTATCTTCACCAGGTAAACTGTAGTGCCGTGGGTGCCACCCGTCGGGTTGGCATGTGTCCGGCTTGAATCGCCCGCTTATCCTCTTGATTTTTTCCGCAGACGGAAGTTCCATAACTGGTGCAGGGTGCGTTCCGAAAGTGTGAATATTTCTGGGGCCTTCGCAGCAACCCCATGCAGTACTCCACTTCGAACGTTCCTCCCTCATTCTTTGTTCCAGTGAGCATACGATCAGCGCTTGTTCTGCCATGCCTTTGCACTGGAACTTCTGGGGTGTGATCTTCTCTTTCAGGTAGCCGTGCGCCTTGCGCGCCCCTGGCTCCATTGCTTGGTCACACCATTCCTTCCTCTTTCGTCTGCGCGTGCTGCTAGAATTTACCGACCCATGACCGTGCCAGAAAGTGCACACTTGGATAACTGCATCCAGCAAAGGTAGACCACGATCTGTATATACATGCATGAGGTGCCCCATCGATCTAAGTACTGAGTTCCAGAACGGGGCCCCATCTTTCCACGCAGCTGTGAAAGGGCTCTTGGCCCCAAGAACCTCCAGTGACTTGACGAGCCTGTGATAGTACTTAGTGAACTTCTTCTGGCAGCAAAGTATTTTTATCTCTTTCAACCGTTGAATTGCCCATGAGAGTGCCCTCTGTGGGTCCAACCTATTGTATGACCTGGTAATGAGTACCTCGCGTACTGGCATATATGTCCAAGTAATAGGGGAACTTCCACTTAGTCCTTTTATCGTCATATCTTGTTACATGCAATACTTCTTTCCACGCCGCATCATTCCACATATCATACGTCTTGCCCAGTACCTCGATCCCTGCCTTCGGGTGGTCGCCATGTAGGGCAGTCTGATCCTTGGCGCCACCAACTTTGTCAAACAAACTTATCTAAAAGCCGATTTGGTTCTGACATGTCGGGGTCGGGAAGGAGAGGGCCTATCACACGAGTGCCTGGCGGGGTTTGGTACTTCTTGGCGATCCCGACCTTCTGATCTCCTGACTCTGCCTTGAAAGTAAGTTTGACTGGTCGGTGAGGGTCCACTGGGAGATCAACCATGACCTTCACCTTTTCCACCATCGCATCAAGTGTTCTACGGATCAGAAAGTAGTCGATTGTGGTGCTATGATCATCAAGTACGTACGATGGGGCACACTCATCACCGCGCACTACGCCGTCGAGTATGTGTGACGGTACAGCATCACTTAACGCATGAGGTGGATTGTTCCAGTCGCCTCCGATACAGAAAGGTACCCGATGTGTGAGTGCCGATTTGCCAAGCCCACGTATCAACTTCAAATTTCGCGGGGTGAGGCCTTCACCGACATACATGTAGATAGTGTCAACCATGAAAACGCCCAACTCCGTATATCTTACATAACATCGGGCAGCACGTCCTGGTTGTACGCATCCATCATCTGGGGCCCAGCATTATAGATGTGTGTTTCACCAGTACGCGTACCCCACCTGACGCCCTTCCCTTCTCTGTGGG